TTTTTTTTTTTTTTGCGGGGTGCCGATGACCCCCGACCAGTAGGTGCCGACCAGCCGATCGGTCGGCGGGTCGGCAGCCGACCAGTCAAGGGCCGCCGACCGTCGGCGGGTCCAACACTGTGCATATGTAATATGTATATGTTACTTATTATATAACTATTACACTATTACTTACTATTTCTTATTTCTTTGTTTCGTGGGTGTTTTGCTGGCCCGTGATGTGGATCGACAGTATGTAGAGTTTTCCATCTGGTGTGGGTGAGTGATAGTCTGCTGTGATTTTCGTCACAGGTACCTTGAGGGCAGTGGTTGGTGCCCACCTCAGGGTATCAATTATCGGGCAGTCATGATGCTTAACCACAACCGGGGTTGAGGTGGATTGTCACTTACAGTGTAATCAGTTAAGGGTTTCTGCAGACTGTCGAGGGTTCAGCGTCCTGATGAGTCGGTGAAACTCAGACGAAACAGTTTGTCACAGCCCCTCGTTTGTTGTCCTCTTCTCCCTGTCTGTGCAGATACAGGAGCACATTGGATCAGGAGGATAGAGCTGAAGTGAGATCTCATCTTCTTCTTTCCCCCCCCCTCTGTTATCCCTCCGTATTTCCCTTCCTTCCGTTTTCCCTTCCTTCCGTTTTCCCTTCCTCGCTTTCCTCCCCTCTTCCCCCTTTCCGTTCCTCACCCGTGCATGGTGGCGTCGAAGCGGACTATTTGATTGAGTTTAATGAGAGATGATACTCTGATTGGTCATTCTTTTGTGCAACTATCAGTGCAGTCTATGCTCCCCCCTCACCTATGTGTATGTCCTTGCAATGGTTATGCATCTCTCTACGAAATCCTTTTTTCTGCTTTCTTCCTTCTTTTTTCCGCTGATTTTACTCTTCCTTTTTTGCTCTGATGGGGTATACCCCCTCACGCTTGTATTTTTGCATAATATTCTCATGCGTTTGTCGGTCAGAGCAAGCTTCTTTTACCTCGTCAATCCCTTTACCTCATGCTCTTGAGGCAGAATGGGCGGAAGGAGAAAAGCCTGCTCCCCTCCTTCCTTCCCCCTTATGGGAAGTGCGTTACGGGGACAAGGATACAACGTAAGGGGGCAACGGGTTATGTTATGGGTGCAAATTGGTACTCAGGTTGAATTCTCGGTATATTCATTGTGACCTTTTTTTTGTTTTTTTTACCCGGAATGTTCTCCAATGGTGGGGTATTAGGTGTTCATATGGGCATAATGATTATGCGCATAACATTGCATAATATTCTCATACGTTTGCCGGTCGGAGCACGCTTTTTTTATCTCCTCGATCCCTCCACCTCATGCTTTTGAGGCGGAAGGGGCAAATGAAAAAAGGCCTGCTCCCCTCCTTCTTTCCCAGTTATGGGAAGTGAGTTATCGGGGCAAGGATACGACGTAGGGGGGCAAAGGATTATGTTCTGGGTGCAAATCGGTACCCGAGTTGGTTTCTCAGAAATTGTATTCTACAATTCTTTGGATATTCACGCATATGCTGAAAGCCTGGACTGACGTTCCGTCTGTTGAGGGGGAAGTGCGCTGCAGGCGGAAGGCCGTGTGGGGCACAGCGCGACCGGGAGCGCTGCGCCCCCCCCCGGAGCAATTTCGGAGACGAAGCGGTGCAACGCGGGATCTACCGGAGAGCCAGACGACGCGGTGGGCGAAGACGCAAGGCAACGCGATGGGCGACGACGCAAGGAAGCGAGGCGAGAGAAGGGTAAGTACGGGAGAGCTGGCGACGAGGTGGACGGTGGGACATGGTGG